ATAGCAATGATTGTGAGGGTGGCGCATGACTGGGCAGTGTTTTGTTCTGTCGTACATAAGGTTGTATGAGTTGCAACTGATAGCACCTAACAGTAATACAGAAATTATTTTAAGGAGCCTTTGTGGCATAACAGTTAAGTGCTTGGCTGCTAACTAAACGGCTGGTGGTTTGAACCTACCAGCAGCTCTGTAGGGGAACTATGTGGTGATCTAATAAAGATTATTACTCCTATGTGGCAATTCCACTCTTTCATACAGGGTCAACTATGACTCGAAACTGACTAGCAGGTACCTAAAAAGAACAAACTGTTCTAAGAAAAATGAAACTCAAGTTTTTTCTCAGGAAACTGAAAAATGAAACTCAAGTTCTGCTCCTTTCTGCAGTATGAGTTCATTCCCACGGTACTTATCTATTATCAGCCCTCATACAGGAAGTAGGGGGAAGGGGAACCACGCTCAGCACTGACTGGAAAGCCAAACTGGTCTTCCTAGATCTATCACAAATTTCATGAGTGATCTTGGGCAACAAACCCCAAATTCTGTTTCACTTTCCTCCAAAACTGATTCTGAAGCTCACGTGGAGATTTTAAAAACAAACAAAATTAGACTGTGCAATGATTTGATTCTAAAAATGTTATGAAAGCATCAAAGGTGTACTATTTAAGATGATCATGCTGTATCATGAAATGTTAACTCCATTTATATATTTTTTTCGCATTAAGAAAGTTCTACATTTAATATTTTTATCTGATTGGAAACTTGATGCCTTGATAGAATGCAAAATTGTATCACTTCTCATTCTTTCAACACTCACACAATACATAAAATTCCATGGTTCATTTGTTCCACAGCTAAAACTGTGGAAACTTAGGGAAAAGCAAGAACCCTACTGGTTGCTTTATCTGAGAAAGTTCTGAACAAACACAACAATGACTACAGTGAAGTGATGCCTGTGACACTAACTTTGCTTTAGTGACTAGGACTCCAGTTTAATACATACCCTCTAGCCATGAGTGAGAAGCCCTGATGGTACAGTAAAAGTGTTTGGCTGACAGGTTGGCAGTTTAAACCTACCATCTGCTCTGTAGGGAGCTCTGATGGTGCAGTGCCTAAGGCACATGACTGCTAACCAGAAGGCTGGATGATCAAACCCACCAGCCACTCCTCAGAAGGAAGGTTGGACAATCTCCCTCTGTAGTGATACCGTCTCAGAAATCTAAGGAGGGGTCACTATGAGTCGGATCTGACTCGATGACACACAACAACAACAACAACAACATCTGCTCTGTAAGAAAAAGATGGGGCAGTCTGCTACTGTAAAAATTTACAGCTCTGGAAACCCTATGGGGCAGTTCTACTCTGTCCTATAGGGTTGCTATGACTCAGAATCAACTCAATGATAGCCGGTTGGGCTGGAGTCATAATTGGCTACTGAGCATCTGAAACATGGCTAGTCCTAATTAAAATGTGTAAAATACACACCAGATTTCGAAGACTTAGTATCCAGAAAAAGTTAAATATTTCATGAAACTTTCTAATGCTGATGACATCTTGAAATGATATTTGAGTATGTGAGAGTAAATAAAACACATTAAAATATTACAATAATAAAACTATTCAAGTATTATAATATACTGATAATATTTTGATATACTGGGTTAAATAAAACTTTAATTATTAAATTACTATTGAATTTTAAAAATTAATTTCACTCTTTATTTTAAATGAAGCTACTAGAAGATTAAAAATTACATTTTTGATTTGCTTTACATTTCTATTGGATAGCGCTGTTCTGGACCAGACAATTCTTTCCGTTCCTGACACCCTACCTCTGTTTTTGCTAAAGTGAACTGCACTCATTCATCATCTCTCTTAGGAAATGGGAGGGCTGTCTGTTCTTCAGAGTCATTCATGCTGCAGCTAAGGAATAAGTCATTCTTGAGAGATGCAGACAGTCTTAGGTGGGCTTGTTTATAGGGAACCCAATTTCCTCATCACTAGAATTTCCTTCCCATTACTTACCTCTGTGGTTGTTATGGGGATTCCTGGGTCTGGCCTCTGGCCGAGGTCTTCGGTCCTCCATGACTGAATCACCTGAATCCCTCCACGTTTCTGTCACATTCAGTTATCTGGAAATCACAGATTGAGTTATAGGTGCTCTTGAAACATCATGTTGTTGTTATGTGCCGTCAAGTCAGACCCTAACATCTTATCTAACCACAAAAACCCAAAGTGATATCAAAACAATTTTCTTGCCTCTATATTTTAATAATTTGTTATCTAAGAGTTAAATGGAAATTTTACTTATTTAAAATTGAGCACAAGTACTCAGCTCTGTGAATGCTTATCTTTAGTTTCTTAGTGTTGCTATAACAGCAATACCACAAGTGGGTGCCTTTAATGAACAGACATTTATTTTCTCCGTTAGGAGGCTAGAAGGCCAAATTCAAGGCTCAGGCTCTAGGGGAAGATCTTTGTCCCTTTTAGCTTGTGTTTCTCAGTTCCATGGCAATCTCCACATGACATCTATCTTTCCTCTTTTTGCTTGCTTCACTCTTGTCTAATCTGTTCTTTTTATACATCAAGTCATTAGGTGTAAGACATACCTAACCTAGACTTTGGACATGTTATTAGGAGGAACCTGTCCCTGGAGGATGACATCATGCTTGATAAAAGAGAGAGTCAGTGAAAAAGAGGACCCTCAATGAGATGTATTGACACAGTGGCTGCAACAGTGGGCTCAAACATAGCAATAGGACAAGGCAGTTTCATTCTATTCTAACTTTTGAGTTGGAACTCACTTAAGGCACCTAACAACACACTGATATGTCCTCACTAACATAACAAAGAAAACCCTATTTCCAAATGGGATTACATCCAAAGGGATAGGAGTTAAGATTCCAATACATGCTTTCAGGGACACACTTCAATCGATAACAATGCCCTATTATAATCTAAAACATTAAGTTCACAATTTAGATACTTTCAAGGTATCAAATTACCCTTTCCTTTATCTTTGCTCTTTCAAGGGGTAGAGGAATCACCATCAACTCCCATGCAAAACTATGTACTGTTTGGTTTATGCCTTTGGCCAAGTTACTTCCTCGGTAGCTAGGTTTCATTTTCCTCTCCCACAAAGTAGACAAATATTGTTGCCAGGGTAAAGAGGAGTACATTTTTGTTAATCTAAAACCATGCACCCACTGTTTCACCCAGCATTTATATCATACAGGAGTCTATGGATTATAGTACTCTATAGGAGCTCTGGTAGCATAGTGCCTAAGGCACTTGACTGTTCACCAGAAGGCTGGCGGTTCAAACCCACCAGCCACTCCTCGGAAGGAAGGTTGGGCAATCCTACTTCTGTAGTGATACTGCGTCGGAAACCCAAGGAGGGGTTGCTATGAGTCAGGGCTGACTCCATGGCAAACAACAACAACATAAGTAATTAGTGAGCAGTTATCCCTTATCCTACTTTTTGGAATGCAGCCAACTGATTTAAGTCCTCTGCTCTGTTACTTCAAGAGAAAGAAATTACATATTTTGATAACCAGGAGGCTTAGCATCTAGAGAGTGCTGTTTCCTCAGGACTAGGCAGAAATCTGCAATTCTTTACTTCTCTTTCTTCTATCTTGATGATTTTTAACACTGTCCTGAAAGAGGAAGAGGATGTCCCTTTGAGGGTACTTTCAATCCAATTCATACACATCATGTGAGCTGGGGCTAAGAAAAGAGTGGGTGACTCACTGTACTCAGCAAAGGGACTTTTGAGTTCATCCCTCTGCTGAGTTTTAAAATGTTCATATTTGGAAGCTTTGAATAGATTCTAGCATTATAGGTGGGGTAGCTTTGATCTTCAAAAAGGGAGTCCCTTTCCTTCCTGCTGGGAATATTTTTGAGGATTCGTTGCCCTCATCCTATCAAACTTGGTCTCATGGTGCAGATTCAATATTTAGAGTTTTTAAAATTAATTCCCTGAGGGCAAAATTCCTTCTTCTTCTTGCTAAACAACAATAACAACAATAACAAAATAGAAAATTTCTGGGATTAAAGAAATAGAAGAAAACAAAGAAGAAATGTTATGAAAACTAGGCAAGGAAAGGAAGGGATGAACAGACAGGAACAGAAAATGCTATGAAAAAACAGTCTGAAGTCAGTTTCTTTGGGATTTGGGGCCTAAAGAGCAGGAAGATGGTCTAAGCTGCTATGCAGGTCAGAATTAGAGGAGAAAGATAATTACTGAAGGGGATGAAAGAAAGAGGCGGAAGCAAGGAGGCCAGAGTCGGGTTAGCAGAGGCAGTCTCCAGGGTCCTGATGGAACTATTATAGGGTCAAAGGATGCCAAGGATGGGTGGTGGCATGAAGGCCCAAGCGAGGAGTGGCAGGGGAGATGGGGGATTGCTAAACAGTATGGGGGTCTCGGAAGGAGAGGGTGGGGGGGCTTGTTGAAGTGATGGGGGAACCTCAGATAGGTATGGGGGAGTCTGAGGTGCTGAGAACGGAGATGAATGAGATGACAGGAATTGAAGACAGAGGTCCATGGGGGAGAGGTGACTGAGGTAGAAAGTGAGGGTAGAGATAGGGGGTGGGGGATAGAGAACTAGAGGGGATCAGATGTGGGCAGACGTGATGGGGGCGACAGAAGTGGGTGATGGGGGCACTTGGGGGCGCGATGGGAGTACTAAGGAAATGATGGGGGCACTGTGGGGGTGATGGGGACGCTATGGGGGTGACGGGGATGCTGAGGGGCAGGGTGAACGATGGAGGTGTTGGGTGCTGAGGAGGAATGGAGCGTTAAGAGGTGATGGGAGCGCCCAGGGGGTGACTGGGGCGCTAAGGGGACGATGGAGGTGCCGAGGACAGTGGAGATGAAGAGGCACTGATGGAGGCTCTGAGAAGCGGCGGAGGTGGGTGATGGAGGTGTTGGTCGCTAAGGGATGGGACGTTAAGCGGTGACGGGGGCGCTGAGGAGAGAGGATGGGATGCTGAGGAGAGCGATGATGGAGGTGGTGGGAGATGAGGAGGTGACGGGGGCGCCGGGCCCGAGGCAGTGGCGGGACAGCGCGGGCGCCGGGGCGGGTGCAGGTGCTGGGCCGGGGGCCACTCACCCGCTCCTGCGCGTCCTCTCGCCGCCGCGGCCGCCAGATCTGCTCTGGCCTTGGCAGGTCTGCGGCGCCGCCCGGCGCCGCGCACTTTCGGTTTCCCTTCCCCGCAGACTCTGGGCGGGGCAAGGAGCCGGGCAGGCGGCCCGGAGGAGGAAGGGAGCCGCGAGGAGGCGAGCGAGGGGCTGGGCTCCACAGCCGCCCCCGCCCTCAAGTCCGTCAGTGGCGGGAGGAAGCGCGAAGTCGCCTCAGCTGCCCCTAGCGGCGGGGCTGACGGGTTCCGGGGGAAGGCTGAGGGGAGGGGACTGAGAGGAGCGGGCTAACTGCGCCCAAAGCTGTCGCAGGCCTCAGCCAGCCCTGAGGATGAGGGGTCCCTGGCCGGAGGCTTGGTGCGTGTGAGGCGCGACGTGGCAGCGAAGCCGACAAGCCTGATGGCTCTGTGTGTACGGGAAAGGGGGCGGGGCTAGACGGGACATTGAGAACCATTAGATCGCTTCGGGGTGGGAGGATTGGAGACTACATCTCCCAGGGGACCCCGCGGGGCGCGAAAGGGAAGGGGGAAGCGCTTTGGGCCCAGTACGCAGGCGCGAGGACCTCCTCTGGCTATATAAGCAAGGTGCAGGCTGCTTTTCGTTCTTTCGCGTCAGCGGCGCATTCGCTTCGGCTGTTCCTTGTTGTCCGATCTCCCTTGATGTCCGCCCAGGCGGGGGCCTCGGGTTTGCTACGGTATCTGGTGAGTGTAGACTTCGTTTTCTGTGGCCCCCTTTTCCCTTCTCGTGCCCCTGCCTTCGTCCCTGCGGCCCGTCCTTTCCTTCTCCCGGTTATTCTTCTCTGTTCTCAGATAGGTTTTAGGGCCGTGGGGGAAATCAATTTGGCGCTGCAATAATCGACGACTTATGCACGGATCTGAGGAACAATACGCTGATATAAATGATCACTTTACTTTTTACCCTAGTATTAAACTACTGCTATGTTTTATGCTATTGCTTGGCCGACTACACACCTGGTGTTTTTCCATTTTATTATTTTTGTCCCTTACCCAACCTCATGCCCGATAGAGATCTTTGCAGAGCGTCCTGTTTTTCAGATGTTGCAGTTTAGTTTCCGAGCACTAACCATCCACGGAGCAATGTGCTTCTTTCCACTCCCTGCTGGCTAGCAACCCGTGCCCCCAAAACCGGATTGGTGCGTGTGCCAGCAAGTCAGTGACTGGTGAAGGACCGAACTGGCTACTCTAAAGTTGGCTAAAACACACTGAAACCTCAACAATAAATTATATTCACAGACCCCCATACCCTCCCCTGCCTTATCAGAGATAACCCCCCTTCCTGGAAACTTGAAAAACCTGTGTGTGCCAGAGATCCTTATAGAAGGGTTGGACAACACTTACTTAAGGTGCGGCTCTACTCTGCGAGTGGCATTGTCTTATTCAATCCACTCTACTTAACTAGCTGGCAAACTCCAGCGTGACTGCACGTGGCTGAAGACTCTCTAAAGTTTCAGTCCATTTGCTGGTCGGATGAACTAAAACTTTATTCCAACCTAAGCCTGGTTCCTTTCAGCAAGAAACACATAACACCTATCAGATAGGCCTGCCGCTGTTCATTTTTAGACCTTGGGAAGATGATGATTGGTATCGTTGGTTTGTTTACAGGTTAGCATGGCCAGATGGAACAAAACGGTTGTTGGAGGAGGGGATCATTGCTGGGCTATCAAAGGAACCTCGTGTGGACATTTCCACCCTTCTGTCTCCTGATCTCTGGGGTAAGCATTTATCTCCTGGCTTCTTAGCTTGTTAGGGGAAAATGGAGGGGGGGGCACCTTTTAGGTGTTAGGTATGTTCTGTATGTTTTTTTAGGATTTCTTACATTTACCTATTGAGGTTCAAGAGAACTTATAGCCCCAAGTAGAATAATCTTTTAATTGTAGAAGGTGTTTAACTTTTTAAAAAAATGCTCCTTAAACCACATTTTGGGCTTCCATTCATTTGTGTTTATGGATGGACAGGTTTGTGTGTACTTATTCTGAAGTGGTGAGATAATGCATTGACATTGTCTTTTTTTTTTTTTTTTTTTGAGAGCCACTTGCTGTTGAGTTAGCTGCTTATAATTCCCAACTGCATAACTTTACAACTTCGTAAGTCCAGGCATGAAGCACTCAGGGCAGAGCTTTTTGGCAGTATGTGGTTCTGTTTTGTTACGTCAAATTTCTGATAACACGGTGCATAAAAGCCTGTGATCTCTTCCCAACCTTCGTAAAAGCCACTGTTCACAGCCATATTGGTCTCTATTATATGGTTCCAGAGGTATTGTATCAAGGACAAGACACAGAAACGCTCACATGTTGAAGACATAGGAGACCAGCCAAATCTTATTCAGGGTTCTTTCAGTGTCTTGCTAGGGGGGAAAGGTTATGTGCCGTTGAGTCGGACCCAACTCATAGCGACCGCTCCTTGGGTTTCCGAGGCAGTATCACTACCGAAGTAGGTTGCCCCCATCTTCCTTCCGAGGACTGGCTGGTGGGTTTGAACTGCCAGCCTTCTGGTTAGCAGTCAAGTGCCTTAGGCACTAAGCTACCAGAGCTCCTAACATGTTCTATAGAGACCCTTTATTTTATGTCAAAGAAAATAAAGGAAGTCATCACAAAATGATGATTAGTGGCAGATAAATTTATTGCTGTCACAGGCGGGACTACAGAAGTAGGGAAAGGACCATGACTGGGATACATAAATGAAGGTTAAAAAGGGTTGGTTCCGGTGCTTGGCTACATGGTGTGACTCATGTGGCCTTGAGAGAGAAATACCAGGACCCGAACTTTTAATCTGGCGCCTAAATTTTGAACTATTTCGCCACTAGAGGCAGTTGTTGAAGCTGTGGGCTTCCTGCTGGCATATATGATGACTGAACTTTTTTCCCCGACAGATCGACCATGTTGATCTAACTTCTCTAAGCCAGTTTCCGTCTGATATGCCAGTCTGAGCAGCTCCTCTGCCCCCTCTTCCTTAGGCATCTAGCTGATGGGAGTTGATCTTTCTATATTTTCATTTCAGGTTTGCTGTCAGCAGGAATCTGATTAAATTGACTGGCAGTCCTGATGTGGGAAAGAATTGGTAAGTGATACCAATTAAGCTCAGGTGGAGACAGTAACTGCATTTCATACCACTTTCAATATGGATTGCTCTTTTCAGTCTAGTTTCTGTAACTCAAGGCTGGCCGTTGCAACTGATGACATAACTTTTTTCCCCATCAGATCGACCATGTTGATCTAATTAAACTACTAGCCAGTTTTTTGTCTGATGCATCGGAACCAGAGAGGGCATCTGTCCTTGTTTTCTCTATTTTTAAATTGAAGATTGACTTGTTCTCAACTTTCTCCACCCTAAAACTTAGTTATTTTGTTTGCTTTCTACAGGGCAGTAAGTGACAGCCTGGTGCCTTCTTTGAGCTTGTCTGGGTGAGTTTTCTGTGAAGTGGTGGTTTCCTCAGTAGAACAGTGACTAAGTAGGCCTAGGGTAGAGAGGCATTGAGTTTGCCCACTTGGAGGTAATCTCAGGACCCAGACTGACCTTCAGTATAAAATGGGAGGTTAAGATTGGTTTACTCCCTTCTCAGTAGGACTGATAGTCCTCTTATGGTATCACTAGGTCTTTTAAGAATTAAGGAAAAAGGCCTGTTAAGCATTGTGTACTTAACTATGTTTTAGGAAAATACAGTATTCTGTTTCCTGTAAATGAGAAGGATTTATTTTCATATTGAGGTTGAACATTTTGACAACGTATCAAACCAAAACTCCAAAGGCTATAAATCGTTATTGAAGTAGATTGCCTCATCTTTGTCCCATGGAATGGATGGTGTGTTTGGACCACCAACCTTTCAGTTAGCAGCAAAATGTTTGGACCACTATGCCACCAGAGCTCCTTACAACATAGATACTGGATTTGTAGGTGGTATGTTGCTTGTCTCAGTGATTAGACATCTCCTGGCTTCCTTAGTCTGTTAATTATGTGTCCACCTAGTTGTGAATAACTGAGTCTCAACCAGGTACTCCCATTGTGCTAATAAGTAGTAGTACTTAACATCAGAATGAAGCACTAACTAACCCACATCTCTGTTTCATTTTTAGTAAGTTTCTCGACCGTGGACTTGGAACACAAGGCCTCTTGAAAGAAAGGTGCTGTGCATTACCAAGAGGTGGGGTAGATCGGAACTGGTTCTGGGGAGAAGGCGTGCTTAGCTTGAGCACTTCTCCAGAGTTCAAAAGCCTGTGCCCATGTTTTTGTTTTTAAACAACAGGATTATTAGATTTTTATTACTTCTAGCTTTGTAGCCTTATTTTGTGAAAAGAAACAAAATAAAATCTTTTGTATCCAAACATTCTTGTATTTGGTTTAAGCATTGGTAAAAACGTTGAATAAGGGTTTTCAGTGGGAACTGGCTGTCTCTTAGCTTCATTTGAATAATGACTGGTCCCCACTTCTATTGGAAGGAAACTGCCTATCAGGCAATTGGTTTCTAGTGCACATGTACCAGTAGATAAATTTGACTGCTGTATATTGACTACATTTCTCCCAATTCCTGAGGAGACAGAAGTGTTGGTGTTAACCAAGGAGGGAGCAGTGTAGTCTAGTGGTTCAATCGCCAGAGTCTGTCTGAGTTTGAATTGTGGGTCACATGTCAGCTGTGTGGCCTTGTGTAGGAGAATGGAGATAAAGATTAAAGAAAACCCTCGCTGCCATAACTAGGTAGTGGTGCTCTGGGGGGGTCCCAAGGCTGTGATCTTCATGAGAGCAGTATGCCACATTTCAGTCATGGCGTGGCTGGTGGGTTCAAACCACACCTACCTTTGTTAGCAGCTGAGTGCTTAACCTCCATGCCACCAGGGCATCGATCCCATGTTCTGGTATATCGGCCAAAGACTACAGGAAACAGGGAAGTTAGCATGTTTGGAAGGACTTAAGTTACAAAGGTGGGAGGGAATACTTTGGACATGTTATCAGGAGAGATTAGTCCCCTGGATATTATGTTGGATAAAGTCAAGGGTCAGTGAAAGGCCACAAGATGGATTGACACTGGCTGTAACAGTCAGCCCATACAAGGACTGGGGAGGGTGCTGGACTAGGCAGTATTTCATTCTACTACATGTGGGGTACAGCAACAATAGCACAGAGGAGCTGTTTGCCACCACAGGGCTGGAAGTGGTGGGAGGGAGACTGACCTAACATGCTTCTTAACGGCTGAGTTAACAGGAATCCAGAGAGCATGAGCTCACTGATGTAGTCCTGCCTAGCCCATCAGCCAAGCACCAGGTACATACTTGTAGCCAAACCTGTAGTCTCCAGGTTGGCAGCAGCAAGGGAGACTACACTCAGATGAACCTGCAAGGATGCTGGGGGGGACAGGCTTTTATGGGGTTTGGGTTTACACTGGATGACTTTAAAGGAATTGGGGAGGTAGGGACTGCTTGGGAATGGGTACTGTCAATAAATAGGGGTAATTTAACAGTTAGGTGTCTTGGTATGTTCTAGAGGTGTGAGGGCTGAAGTGGGCTAGAGACCTTACTAGAAAGCAACCATCACTTAGAATTGTTGACTTGTTCATCCAGCTTTGGAAACTTGTTTGGAACATCCTAGTCTCAGGATCCAAACCAATTGCTCTTCAGCCTGTTCTGACCCATAGCAACTCCATAGGATAAAGTAGAACTGCCCCGTAGGATTTCCAGGTCTAATCCCATAGGTGGGCTGGTGGGTTTGAATGCTGATCCCTTGGTTGGCATCTGAGTGCGTACTACACCAGCAGAGCTCATGCTCAGATGATCAGCAGGCTAGATGTTCAGTTTCTACATACTTGTTCAGGAGCTCTGGTGGCATAGTGCCCAAGGCATTTGGCT